AGCAACTAGCAAGTTTATATTACAATTATACTAGGGGCAAGAGAAATTAGAACTTATACTATGGGACAAGCAAAAAGAAATGCAACTGCAGCCTTGACCTCTCAAATTCCATCACTAACCTTTAGAATTCCAATCACAACCTCTAGTGTTGATGCAGTTTATGCTACTAGAATTAGTGAAGAGGCTCATACTTTGGGTCTTGAAAGTTAGAGGAGGAAGAAGAGGAGTTTAAGCCTGGTGGAACAAGTCAGAAAGACAAGGATGATGATGATTTGGTGGCTGAGCAAGAAGAATTAGAAGCATAAGAGAGTGATGATGATTATTAGACTCTTGAATGATTTTCTGTTTTAAAGTTCTATTATCTGACTTTTTTCTGAACTGATCTTGTTTGACTTTTGTACTCTTTTAAGTATTTTATTGTCTTGTTTGATAATTCTAAAATATGATTTTTATTTGTTAAGACTTGAGAATATTGTTTTTTGTAATTTTTGATAATTTTTATAGACTCTTAGGTCATTTTATGCCTTTTATTACTAGATTTGTCTCTTATTTTAATTATTAGATTTAGATTTTTATTTTTTTACTAAATGCCCACTATTTGTCTATAGCGGCCGCTACGCTACGTGCTATGCTATCATAGCAGATTTTGGCCTTTCCGCTATTTGCCGCTATCCGCTATTGATAACACTGGTTTAATTTCATTTTAGCGGGAGTTTTGATTTTCATTTCATTTTCTTCTCTTGAATCCTTGGTTTTCTTAACATTTGGTATCAAAGCTGATTTTTGTCAAATTCTATGACTTTCGAAAATTTTGTCTAGCCCTCAATCCCTCATTTTGATGGTCATCACTATGACCATTGGAGTATGTTGATGGAGAATTTCCTCGGGTCCAAAGAGTGTTGGACAATTGTTGAAGTTGGAGTTTCTGAACCAGTCGTAGGTGCAGATGATGCACAAAGGGTAGAAATTAAGATAGAAAAGTTGAAAGATCTCAAGGCTAAGAACTATTTGTTTCAATCCATTAATTGGGCTATCTTGGAAACTGTCCTTAACAAATCTACTTTCAAGACCATTTGGGATTCCATGAAGAAGAAGTACCAAGGGAATGAAAGAGCAAAGCAGCAGTAACACTAGACTCTACAGGCAAAATTTGAAGGTTTGCAGCTGCATATTGGTGAATCTATAAATGACTACTTTTCAAAGACAATGGCAATCGCAAACAAAATGAGAATCCATGGTGAACAACTAGAGGATGCTGCCATAGTTGAGAAAATTCTTTGGTCTATGATAACAAAATTCAATTATGTTGTCTGTTCAATTAAGAAGTCGAATGATATTGAGGCACTTTCCCTTGATGAGTTGCAAAACTCGTTGTTAATTCATGAGTGAAGGATAAACTATCAAGACAAACAGGAGCAAGTAGTGTAGACCTCGCAGACACAAGCCTTGCAAACAACAATTAATTCAAGAGCTGTAGGTTGAGGAAAAGGAAATTGGAAAGGCAGACTAAGATCTAGTAGACCGAAGGAAAGTTCAACCACTAGAAATCAAAAGAGGTGACAGAATAGAAATGATCAAACTGCAAATAACAAATCTAAGTCTATAGACAAGGCAAATGTTGAATGCTTTCGGTGTCATAAGTATGGCCATTATTGTTCTAAGTGTCATGCTAATCTAAATAGAAAAGAAAGTTCTAACTTTGTATAACACAATGAGAAGAATGGTGATGCCTCTTTATTCATGTCATCTTAAAGAAGTTAGCAAGAAGAATGTGTGGTACCTGGATACTAGCTACAGCAACCATGTGTGGAGACAAATCTGTGTTTTTTGATCTGGATGAGTCTTTTCAAGACAAGGTGAAATTTGATGATAATCCTACTATTGCAGTCAAGGGAAAAGGAAAGGAACGATTCATGCCAAAGACAATTCAGTTCAAACTATTGCTAATGTTTTGTATGTACTAGACTTGAAGTCAAATTTGCTTAGTTTGAGGCAACTCTAAGAGAAACGATATGAAATTCTAATTAAAGATGGAGTTTACTAAGTTCATGATTCAAAATTTGGCTTGATTGCAAAGGTCAAGATGATGGGAAAAAGGTTGTTTCCATTGTACTTGCAAACCACAAATCTGTCATGTTTGTCAGTTAAATTGAATGACACAACTTGGCTATGACATTGCTGATATGGACACCTTTATTTTGATAAGTTGAAAGCCTTGTAGTAGAAAAACATGGTAAATGGTCTTCCTCATTTTGAATCTCCTTCAAAATTTTGTGAAATTTGCATTATCAATAAGTAGCACCGTGACAACTTTCTTGAAGACAAATCTTGGAGAGCAAAGTGGGTGCTAGATTTGGTTCATTTGGATCAATGTAGACCCATAAATCCAACATCCAATGGAAGTAAATGATATTTTATTACTTTTGTTGATGATTATAGTCACAAAACATGGGTGTAATTTTTACAAACCAAGTCAAAAGCCTTAGCAACCTTTAAAAATTTCAAAGTCCTAGCTGAGAATGAGGCTGGCAGATCTATAAATGTTCTACACACAAATCATAGTGGTAAGTTTAACTCACAGGAATTTGTAGATTTTTGTGAGTCTAGTGGTATGAAAAGGCAACTCACAGCAACATATACACCCTATCAGAATGGGGTATATGAAAGAAGGAATCACACAATCATGAATATGGTGTGAAGTTTGTTGTCAAGGAATGGCTTGGTAAAAGGAGTTTTGGCCAAAAGCTATTCATTTGGGGTGTTCATATCTTGAACAGAAGTCCCATAGCTCCACTTCTAGATATGACGTTAGAAGAGGCTTGGAGTGGACGTAGTCCTACTGTTCACTACTTTAGAACTTTTGGGTGCATAACATATGCTCATTTGCTAGATTAGAAAATGAGTGACCTTCATGACAAAGGAGAAAAGTGTACTTTTCTTGGCATTAGTGATGAGTCCAAAGCTTACAGATTATATAATTTTATAACTAAGAAGGTTATCATTAGTCGTGATGTAGTGTTTGATGAAGCAAGCACTTAATCTTGAACAAACAAATCTAGGAAAAAGATGCCTGTAGGTTTTGAAAATGGAAAAGATCTAACTGTGCAAAATTTAGAAGGTTAGACACAACAAAATAAAGGTTGAATTTTAGCATACCTCAAGGCTTCAAGAAAGGCAAATGGGAAAGTATACCTGTGGTAGCAAAACTCAATATTGGAAAAAGTTTGACAACAACAACAAAACTGGAAATTAGAACTAGTTCACGATCTCAACGCCAATGTTTTAAGACTCAACTCGGTGATCAACCTGTTTCGGTCATTAGGTCTAGTTCAACTAGTTCAACCAATTTGACCTACCAGTTCAACTGATCAACTAAAAAAAATAATTTTATTAATAATTTTATTAGATTTTACTCTTTACTTTTATTTTAGTCTTAAGAACTAGCTACCATAAAATTAATTTGAAAATCATCATTTAAGCAACTTAAAATAACAAATTTGATTAAATACATATAATTTTTAAGATCTAAACTAACAAATAGTAAAAGACATAATAGATAATAAGTTCACCAAATGTGATAATAAGGGAAAACTCAATTTTAAACTAAATTTACTACAAAATAAGTCTAAAATATTAAAAAAAGTCTCAAACGAAATCCACAATAAAGACAAATGTTAAATAGATGAAGCATCATTACTAATTCATTTGTTTTGGCCTTAATGAGGAGCATTTTCATCAAAGTAAGCATGTAGCTCCTAAAAGTCATTCTCACTACCACTATCTTCAAATCCATCACCAGTTGTTTCTAATTCAATCCCTTCACTAGGACCACCAATGTCTTCACCAACTTGCTCTTCCTCAATACCTTCAAATTGAAATTATAGAATCGTTTAATAAAAACAAATGTAAAAAAAAAAAAAAGAAGAGAGTTTTAATTGTCTATTCATTAAATGATATAATTATACAATGTATTAAAAATTAAATTAATTAATGAGTAAACTTCTTTTTGATTTATATGATAAATTGGAACTGCTCTTTCATTATAAATCGTATTCTCCAATTTGTCATAATCAAAAATTGGAGAATCGTCTTCTTCCATTATCCAACAATTAACGTTGTCTGTGCTCTCATTATCAATAGGATCAAAGTAAGTCTTCTTCTTGCCATCAATCATAGAATTTAAGATTCTTAGAGATTAGTAAAAGATTCAATTAATAAAGCTTAAATAGAAAAAAAATAAAACTATAATTTAAATAGATATAAGATAAAATACTTATTTTTCAAACGCAAATTGTAATGTACATAGATAAGATCATTTAATTTTTGATGTTCCAATTTATTTCTTTTCTTGATATGTATCATTTAAAAAACATTCCAATTTCTTTTACAACCGGAAGATGATGAAGTTTGGCTCAAAAGTTTAATAGCCAAATTTTTAAAAGTTGAAGTATCATATCCAAATTTTTAAGAGTTGGAGTATCATATCCAAAATATTTCCACCACTCATCTATCAAGAAAACAAGAAATATATAAAATGTTAGCAAATTTATAATTAAAAATATTTTTTCATAAAAAAATATTAAAATTATAAATTAAAACTTGGAATCTTACTGAGTTTCATATCTTTTGAAGATACAAAAGCACTTGAACAAGCAAAGCTCTCTAATCTCTTCTCATAAACTCACATTCATTCCAAAATTTTGTCTTTTGAAAAGGAATTTTTGCATCCACAAAATCCATAAACCATCTTATCACTTCTTGCTTGGTGCAAAAATGCTCTTTATCATTAAAAAAAAAAGGAAAAAAAAAAGAAGAAGGATTCAAGTAATAGACAACAACATGGATAGTTTGACAAAATTGCCTATCTCACATTTCCTTGATACTATTTGTATAGGGCTTGTATAAAGGCTTTCTATTCATCAACATGATCTTAATTGCTTTTTTAGCTGTATACATGCCATCATAAACATAGCCAAGAGAAGGTCTTTTATCACTATCAACAATTTTAAGCAAGCGCATAAGTGGTGCCACATCTTTTACAACAAGTTGACAATTACTCCAAAATTTGTTATTTAAGACGACAACAACAACATCTTTACCTTCTAATCCTTGTAGTATCTAGACTCTCTAAATTCCAAACTAGTAACCAATGCTTGCAAATCATGCTTGTGATCAAGAACGCTCTTGAATGCAATGAATGTAATAGCAAAACGTGTGGGCCTTAGATGTATAATTTCAGTTCACCCTTCTCTTTTTCTTAGCCAAGCTAAGAAAAAAGCATGATTGTATGCAAATTTAGTCACTAATGATGCACTAGTTGCTAATTTACTCACAACATTCAACTTGCCAATATCATTTTATATCAAATTCAAGCAATGAGCAACACAAGGAGACCAAAAGATAGTTTGACACATGTCATTTAGCATTTTTTCAGCTTTCTTATAATTAGTTGCTTTATTAGTGGCCAAATGGATAACATTACTAGCACCACCATAATCAACCAATTCTTTAAACAAATTGTAAACATGCTAGCATCTTTGATTACATTAGAAGCATTAACAAATTTCACAAAGGTTATCCCTTTAGGACAATAAATAAGAAAATTGATAAATTGTCTTTTTTTTTTTATCCTACCAACCATTACCCATAATTATTACAACCAGTTTCTTCTCAAACTTTTCTATAAGAATCAATCAACAACTAAACCTCCTCTTTTAAATCTTTCAAAAGATTAATTCTCATAGCATGATAAATAGGTCCTTTATAATCAGGATCAATTGCAATAATAGCATAAATCATAGGCTAAAAATATGAAAAATTAATGGTATTTACAAGAATACAACTATCAAAGAAGAATCGAGTAATAACTAAATGAACTTGATGGATATCTTTTGTATCTGCCATTGCATTCCTAATTGATGCCCAGATCTAAGAGTTGTTTTTGGAGCAAAATAATTATGCAACCCACTTGCCTTTTTTTTTTTTACTCTTTTCCATGGTATTCCTTTTCCTTTAGCTTGAGAAAGTGGAGCAAGAATCTCTTACAAGTCAGCATCACCAAATGGGTTATCTTCCCATTGATTTTTAGCTTACTTCTTGATTTCTTCAAATTCTTTCAAACTTCCTTACATTTAGAAATGAACATCATGAGGCCCCTTGTCACATTTTTTCACTTCTCTACCTTTTCCAGCAAGGTGATGCTTCATTCTATTTATTCCTCCTCTTCTGATAAGTTTTTAGCAATGCAAGCATTGTTATGTTTTTTTTAATGCCTTCAACTTCAACACAATGGTCCTATGCAATATCAACTTTTACTTTACATAATTGTTGTGATTATGTAGATGCAGTAGTTGAATTTGTCCAAAAGATGACATTTTCCTACAATTTACATAAATATATAAAATTATTAAGAAAACCTCCAAGAGGCCAAGTATAATAAATAAGAATTTGTTTGAAATAAAGATGCCGTATTACAATTTAAATCAAACATGATAGATTAGGATATTCATACATAATTTTTCTAAATCTTACACCAATACTAATTAATAAAGAATTAATTTCTATCAACAATTAACAAGCTCGTAGAATATGTAAATTTGACAAT